CCCTGTTGCATATTTTCACTGTATAAATTTACACACAATTCAAGCAAATTGTGTGTATCAACGTGCACTTACATGTTTTGCTTTAGGTTCATATATGCATAAATTATGAAATACATAGCAAAAATACTTCCTAAAAGTTGAGAGTAAGCCACATCTTGATGAAAAGTTAGTTTTTGCTAGAATTATAGCTTATTTCCAAGGCCCTTTCCGGATACACTCTAATATCGTCATTTTATGTAGCCGAACTCCGATGAGACATTTGTTCACTTCCAACTCTGTCCCTTCTCTTGAGTTCCAGCCATGACTTTCTGATTTTGATTCCTGGGGTCTGGAGTGACATCCAGAATATTCAGCAGTTCAGACTGAATCCAGTGATCCAGGAGGCCATGGAGGCAGGCGCCTGCTTCCCAGACCATCTGGGGACAAGGAGCAGGCCCCATTGGAGCAGCCTCTAAGCTGTTCCTGGCACATCTTGAAGGGACCACAGAAAAGTGTGGCGCAGCAGATGACCATTTTCTAGAGAAGGATCCAAAGAGAGGACCATTTCCTAACTGGTTTCCCTTCTCCATTGTTGCCTCCATTAGCATTGTTGCTCACACTGCAGCCAGAAGTAGTCATGAAAAGGCACATCTGGCCATGTCACTCCTCTGGTGACAGCAGACTGCCATCACAGTGGGATGGGTGAGCTCCGTTATGGGTGTTCAGCACCATTCCTTGCCTGCACCTGCCCCTCCCCCTCCACACTCTACTGTTATCCAGTGGCTTATACCACCCCTGAACACAGTTGCTTATTTCACACTTTTGGACCTTTGGCTTTTGCCATTTCCTCAGATTAGAGTGCCTACCTAGTATCCCCTTTCATCTGGCTCATCTTACTTATTCTTCAGACTGTGCTCAAATATCACCCTAAAAAGCCCAGGGCAATGCCCTATCCTCTGGAGCAGAAGCTCCCTGTATTTACACGTGTAGCTTAGCCAGTCACACATTGTGTTGAAACATCCTTATGGCCCCATCTCTCCTGTTGACTGAATTCCAGGGAGGGCAGGGACAGACTTTCACAAGTCTATGTGGATCCCAGAACCTCGCACAGATTGAACTGGGATCAACTGGGAAAGAGAGTGAGCTTTTTTTAAAGTGGTGCCTGGTAAAGGCCAAGGCCACGTTGCTCAGGGGACAAAATTGAGCCAACAGGAAGGAAAGGGAACTTAAAAAAAAAAAAAAAAAAGCTAGTTGGTGAGCTCCTTGGATCAGAAAATAGGTCTGAAACCACCTGTATGTCTCCCACCTCCAGTGCTAGTGAGTTTGCCCTGTTAAATTGATGAGTTGCTTGGCAGCCAAAGTAGGAGTAGGAGGTGGTTCAAGAGAAGAAGGGAAAGCCATCTTTGACCCTCCAAAGATGGCTTTTAGTTCATTGATATTTTATAAATACCAAGCATTTCATATACTCTTTCAATAAATATTACTGGGTACCCACCTGCCAAGCTGGAATATATCATAACTAATCCTTATCAAGTGTTCCCTTTTTGCCAGACTTGGATAGTCCTCCCCGCAACTCCATGAGGGAAGAGAGGCAGTAAGAAGGTCAATGACTTGCTTGGGGCTGTGAGCCTGGCATGGTAGCCAGACTTTTACCCAAGCAGCCTGAATCTAGAGCCTGAGATCTTAATGGCCATGCTCCAGTTATGCCTCTAAGGAAGATTGAGCCGGGCAGCACCCCTGTCCTCCCGACACTAGTGGAATTTCTTAACAGCTTATTATCATGTTCTCGCAAATTTTGTATAGAAACCAACTGGTTACGTTCATCATTTTTAAAAAAGTTAAGTCCTGGAGGATTGGTCCACTAGAAGGCAAAGGGGAAGCCACATCTGCCCTGGACTCCCACAAATAATATACAGAACATTTTCAGATTTTTTTTTTTACTTCCTGATATTTAATTTTTTAAAAAATTATTTAATTCAATGGATGCAAGATTTGGCAGACAGAAACAGGATAGAGTGGGTTGGAGTGAATCTATACGTGGGAAGAGAAAATGTAGTGAGAAAAAATAATTAATAGTTGGGATATGTTCAAATTCACGTTATATAAGGAGAGTCCTATTTTGGTTGGGTGAATCATCTTTTTTTTTTTTTAAGGGACATTTAAAAGCTATGGTTATCCTAATGCTGAATTGGGGAAGAGCAATAATATTGGTGTGAAGTTTCAAAGTAAAATACAAAATAGAATATGCTCACAGATCTGAGCTGATACAGGCTTGCCTAAAAGGCCTATAAGAATTCAGACAGTTCAGTGTTTTTAAACATCATTTGATGTGTTTATGTAAAGAATGTATCTGTAAGCCGGGCTCGGTGGCTCAGCCTGTAATCCCGCGCCTTTGGGAGGCTGAGGTGAGTGGATTGCCTGAGTCCGCAGGTTCGAGACCCGCCTGGGCAGCGAGACCTCATCTCTACAATAAATCAAAAAATCAGCCGGGCGTGGTAGCGCATGCCTGTAATTCTGGCTACTTGGAAGGCTGAGGCGGAAGGATCGCCGAAGCCCAGCAGGTCGAAGCTGCGGTGGCCGGGAGCGGCCACTGCACTCCAGTCTGGGCGACAGAGTGAGACTCCAATTCAAGAAAAAAAAGAATGTATCTGTAAAATACTAGTATGCTGTTTGTGACAATAAATAATGCAGTGTTTTAGCACACACGATGGCATAATAATTGAACATTCATGTAGCACTTTATAGTTTAGTAAGTATTTTTACAGTTTGGGTTTTCACAAAGACTTCTGACCCACGCACATTGTTCTTTCATCACAAAGAAATGGGCAACTAAAAGGAACCAAGAATTCTTGGAGAAGTAGCTGCTTCCAGGGAGAGGACAGGGAAAGAATAACGGAAACTTGGGATGAAATGTGCTCTAAGTAAGATGCGGAAGGGCAACCCTTCAGATCCCTTCCCACTGTGGGAGCTTTTCTGTCCTCTCCATAAATCCTGCTTTAAAAAAAAAAAAAGATGGAGACAAGTCAGAAGGTCCCCCCTGCATCTGGGACAACTGGAGGATGGGCATAAATAATAATAATGATGGATTGTAAACTACTATATAAAGTAGGAATCCATGAGTCCATACTAATATAAATAAAGGAATAAATAAATAAGTGGGAGAGGAGGAAAAGCTCCTTGCTGTATTAGAAAGCCAACAAATAAAGGCAGAAGAAATGATGGACTGAGAAAAATTGCCACTTGCCAGCCATCATCACAATAACTGATTTGGACCAGAGTCATTAGTGAATGTTAAAATAAGATCATTAAAGTTTGAGTAGTAACATGATATTAATATAAACTCAGAGTACCTCCCCGACAAGATACTTTACATTACAAAAGATGAAATGGCAACTCTCCAGTGGAGAAACCTGGTAGATGTCACCTTAACCAAATGATCAAAAGAAACATCCGCAGTAAGGGGACTCTCAGACAGCAGGACAGCATGTGCCCCAGGCAGATGCACTGAGGAGAGCTCTCTGGTGTTCCTGCCAAATGTGAATTATTTGAAACTAATCTTGAGGAAGTATCAGACCAAACCAAATAGGGAACAAAATAACTGGAGACTAAAAAAACATGACACCTGAATGTAACACGTGGTCTTAGATTTTCTTTTGAAGGTTATTTAGACAATAGGCTACATCTCCGTAAGGTCTGTGAATGAGATTGTATTGTTTCAACATGAATTTGCTGATTTCAACCCTTACACTGGGGTTATTTAAGGGAGTTTAGTGTTTCCAGGGAGGGAAGGAAGGAACAGAGGAGTTCCCCAGAAGGGGCACTGTTGTCATAGGCTCAGACCTCAGAGTCAGCCCCTCTCAGCCCAGGCTTCCAGTTGAAGGAAGGAGGGCCCTTGCCCCATCGGGCCTCAGCAGCACCTGGGGAAGACATGAGGGGTCGTGGCCTGGCCTCTCCCCACCCTGTTGCTCTGTCTGTTGGCCTATGTTGTTCCCTCGCCTAGAAAGCCCCTTTCCCTCTTCCCTGCTTACCTGGAGAAAGGCCTGGAGAGGTTTTGAGGAAGGAGAAGTAGATGGGGAGTTTGGAGCCCACTCCTCTGTCTGGCACAGCCACAAACCAGAGAGGGAGTGGCAAGCCCTCAGCTCCTGCCCGCAGGGAGAGGCCATGGGATCCCGGCAGACCTCAGCGTGATGAAGGACCTGGGCTATCTGGTCTCTGTGGCCTGCCTGCTATTTCCTGTAAATGTGTGCCTTTCTTGGACCCATCAGTCTCGGCTCCTCTACAAGCCTCTAGAAAGCCCTCTCTTGGCCTCAGGAAAGGAACCGTGGTCCCAGCCCTGAGAGATTGATTGTGGGGCTCCTTCCTGGGATAGGCAGTACCATGGGTAGATCATGTGTTCAGACTTTTTGGATATTGCATTGATCTCGGTGAACACTGAGTTTTTCAGGAAATTCACAGGTGTACTTTGGCTGGCAGCTTGCCCAGTGGTTCGCGAGCTCATTCCTCCCTGCAGCATGTGTGCTAGGCTTGTGCGAGGCCCCAGGATCAGTTAGACTCAGATCCTGCTCCTGAGCAGCTGAGTGTGCCTGATGGGCCTGAAGGTTCAGTTTTTGTGAAGTCAGTTTTCCTTGTGACTAGAAAGTGCCGGATTAAAGAACTAGGAGCCCCAGCCTGGCTCCCTGTTAGTTGCATGAACTTGTATTAGCCAGAGAACCTCCATGAGACTCAGTCTTCTCATCTGTTAAATAGGGACAGCAGTCTCATGCTGCTGCCTGTGCTGCCCTCGTCTCAGAGCTGTGGCCCTTAAATGGGAGAAGGGCATATCATGCTTTAGGATTATGAGGTGGTCTGGTTAATCCCTCAACATACATATATGGCAGTGCCTTGAAAGCACAGGGTCTTAAACACAGTGAGAGAATGGCAGCATTGTCTCTACTGTCTACTGATCTGAAGGAAAGAGTATTGCTAGAATGCAATAGTCAAGAATCGGGGGATCAAGCTGAGGCTTGGTGTGGGGGAAGCCCATGGGGCTGCCTTCTCCCCACAGAGCCCACATCTATGCCGGGCCAGCGCACAGGCCAGACACCATCCTCTGCAAGGGAGTTGACCGTGGCATTGTCCTTCCAGTGCACCAGGTGGCGGAGCGGGTGGAAGCCCTGGGGCAGTTTGTCATGAAGACCAGGAGGACCCTCAAAGGCCATGGGAATAAAGTCCTGTGCATGGACTGGTGCAAAGATAAGCGGAGGATCGTGAGCTCATCACAGGTACGTCACACCCGCCGCGTGATAGGTAAGCAGATTTTCGATATTATAGCTGAGGGGAAAAGAACTAGGAGCCTAGTTCTTTTGAACTAGTTCAAAAGGCCCTTTTCTGATCTTTACAACTTTGGTCATTCTCTGAAGGATGTGATTTAGCATGAAGAGTTCTCTTCACTAATTTGGGTAGATCTGAAATTGATACTAATTGAAAAACTATAGACTCTATGTGATTTATTTGATGAACTATTCAAAATAAGTTCTCCCTGAGCAAATTTCAAGGTCTTATTTATGAGTGAAATCACTTTAAAAGTAGGCTTCTTGCCGGGCGCAGTGGCTCACACCTGTAATCCCAGCACTTTAGGAGGTGGAGGCGAGGGGATTGCCTGAGCTCAGGGGCTCAAGACCAGCCTGACAAACATGGTGAGACCTCGTCTCTGCAATAAATCAAAAATTAACTGGGCATAGTGGCGCATGCCTGTGGTTCCAGCTACTTGGAAGGCTGACACGGGAAGGATCACCTAAGCCTAGCAGGTCAAGGCTGCGGTGGCCGTAAGCATGCCACTGCCCTCCAGCCTGGTTGACAGAATGAGACTCCAACTCAAAAAATAAAAATAAAAAAATAAAAATAAATAAAGGTAGGCTCCTTTTTTTCCAGATTGAGGGAATAAGATTCCGACAGTGGTTTTCTTTCAATGTAGAGTTTAGCAATTCTGATGTCTTAGCTGATTTAAGATACATATTTTGTAAAGTCTAATTTTTTTCATTCATTTTGTATAGTTTCCATATTTATTTTACATCTCATGTGTTAGTTATCCATTGCTACATAACAAATTATCCTCAAAACTCAGTAGCTTAAAACGGTAAGTATTTATTATCTCACATGGTGTCTGAGTCAGGGGTTCAGGGATGACTTAGCCAGGTGGCTCTGGCTAGGGTCTCCCATGAGGTCACTGTGAAGATGTCAGTTGGGGCTTAGGTCATCTGATAGCTTTACTAAGGTGGAGACTCAATTCCAAAATGCCCCCATCACAGGGCTACCGACTGGAGAGCTCAGTTCCTCACCACACGGCCCTTTCCCTAGAGCTGCTTGGGACATGGTGCCTGGCCTCCTCTCAGAGCGGGTGGTTCAAGAGAGGGAGGCAGCAGCAGAGCCACACTGTATTTCATGACATAGCTTGGAGGTGACAGTCCATCACTTCTGTTGGTCACATAAAACAACCTGACATAATGAGGAAAGAAACTATACAAAATGTGACTATCGAAGGGCTGGGATGATCGGAGCCTCACTGGAGACTAACTCCCACAAGCTTAGTACTTTTGATGTCTATTTTTGTGTCACATGTATTAAACATACAGCAATAAACTGAAATCATATGATATATTCTGTAAATCATATATTTATAATCAATGTAGGTTCCCCCCACCCCGCCTTCTGCCCAGATTTTTCAAAAGAGGATTGGTTTGTATTATTATAAAATTATACATAACCTAGATAATGCACAGGCTGTAGCATCTATGTCAGTGTCTGTTTATAGGACAGGTGTTATTAATCTCCTGGATTACCTACAAATCTAGTATATCACATTGCACTTGCTTTTGTGATTGTTCAGAATAAATGTACTACATGTATTTTTTTTTTTTTAGTTGCACTCTCACTCTGTCACCCAGACTGGAGTGCAGTGGCTGCTCCCGGCC